TATATCTCAGCTTGTTTAGTTGTGGATTACAGTCTATCTCAGAGTTCATTGTCCTATATTCTCAAGGGACATATGCCAATGTTTGTCCCGTAATGTGAACTGTGAATATTTAATAACAAAAGTAATCCCAGTTTTTCTTTGAGTTATATCTCTAAAATGAAGACTTTAGGTTTTCAATTAAAATTTTTTGGCTTATTGCCCAAGGAATAAGCATGATTTACAGTTTTTATATTTTATCTACTACTCTCTAGTTGTATATTCTCAGAGGGTATTTAGAGAGAAGAAATTTACTGACAAAAACTGTTCAGTTATGGTCCATAGTGTGTTCTGAGAGTCAATCTCAACAATCTAATCTTCTCTAATAATTTGAAAATTACACATGAATGGTATGTTTTCTCCCCTAATTCCTCTTACATGATTATTATAGTAGTTCACTCATCACATGCAGGTAATATTAATTTCTTTTATTGTTAATGTGGATTATTGATATCAAAAAAAGTATTTGTTGCACCTGAGATGCTTGTTACATAACTGTCATAAAATCACTTAAAATATCTTTATGACAATGATCAAGAGACAAATCAATTTTGAACGTATTGCTGAGACAAATTATATTTCATAATAAAAATGTTGTTGAACTTTTGATCTGAAGGTGCTGGAAACACTGATGACTTTTTTTGATGTACAATGAATATTATATTTAAGTGAAAGAGTGAAAGATTATTAAATAGGAACTTAAGGTACTTTATCATAGGAGTTTTAAATTGCAGGTAGGAAAATAGCATAAATTTATGCCCAAGTGCTTAAACAGTCAAGGTAGAATTGCTACTTGAACTACCTGAAGATGACATTACACACTAAATGTCTTGTGCAAGATTAGTAGTCAGCTTCCATCAAAACATGCAGGAGTTCAGAACCTAGTTTTATTGACAGTTCACACACTATGAAGTCTCAATAGTCGATGGACTAGTAGGAGACTTAATATTTCTGTAACTTGTCCCATGTGCCAGGCTAAGTGCTTCATGTAGAGTAGCTCACTAAATTCTCACAACGAATCTATTAGGCTTGTGTTATCTCCATTTTACACATTAGGAAATGAAGGCACTTTGTTCCAAGTTATGCAGACAATGAATGGTGCGGTATTAAGTGATCACCAAAGCCATATCAGAACATCATGCTGTGAAAGGGCAAAAGGGAACCATGACATAAAGGAAATCGTTTAAATGAAGATCTTGCAAAAGGCCAATATCAGAACAATCTGATATGGACAAAAATATATTGGAAATGTTTGATCTTCTGCTTCAAGTTTCCCTACGGGATTTGACCAATCCTTCATAATAAACTCAAAAACCGTTACAATATTATTGATCTAAAGATGATTGCATTGAGATGCCTGAGTACATGACACTACAGCATCTAACACATAGTTTCTTATGCGTAATGAGTCCCCTCACATTGGAAAATAGCATTTCAAAATTTAACTTTTTTTAGTTAGCGTGTACATATGATTAAGAAATGAAAAGTCATTTTACAAGTATGGAGTAAAATGTCTTACTCCCACTCCTAAAATCTATCTTGCCTATTCCCCCACCATTATTTTATGTTTCCCATATATCTTTTAGAGAGATATGTACCCTTCTTGATTTGCTCCATTAAGAAACTCTGCATAATTAATTGTATTTCCTACCTTCTCACAAAAGGTATAGCATATTTACTATCCTACACAAAGGTCTTGGAGAAATTTTTATGTCAGTACATAGATTTTTTAAAATGTTTAAATACAGTCTCCATATGTGGAAGTATCATGATTTAACTCTTTCCCCATTGATAGGCTGGTGAGTTGTTTCCAGTATTTTGTAACTATTATAAATCATATCATAACAAATAGCCACATACCCGGGTTGATGTGCACCTATGCACAAATACTTGGAATACAATTCTAACAGCAGAACTATTGGTCAAAGCGTGTGTTTGTAATTCTGATAAATGTTGCCAGATTGCCTTCCTTGGTGGTTGTAGCAATTTGTATTATCACCAGCAGTGTATGAGAGTGCCTGCTGATTTATAACCAGACTGTTAATTAAATTTTTGGGTGTTTGCCAATCGGATGAGGAAAAAAAATGGTAGTGGTATCACTGTAATTTAATTCACATTTCTCTTATGAGTGGGGTTGAGTATCTTTTCATTTGGTTAAGAGCCACTTCTACCATTTTGTGTGTGCAGATTATCTTTTTATAGTCTTTACTCAATATTCTGTTTGGCTGTTTAGTCTTTTGTTAACCATTTCCTAAAAGATGGTTTTACGTTAGAAAATCAGGCTTTTGTCTGCGATGAGTTGCACACATTTCATGCATCTTGTCATTTATCTTAGTTTATTTTGTTGTAGTGTTTAATCCGTGCAGAGTTTTTAGATTTGCAGTGAAATTTGTAGATGTGCATTTCAAAATTAGAAAGGATTTTCTCTGTGTTTTCTTTGTCGCATAGGTTCACTACTTACCTTTAAAATCTTCTCTCTACCTGCAATTTATCCTGGCATATGGTACAAAGTATATTACCCAAGCACTACTGAATTTTTCCTAGCTGTTTTGTTCACATGCTAAATTCCTAAATCTATTTGGCTATATTTATGGCCATTCTGTTATGTTCCATTTATGCTCCAGAGTTATTCTGCTTTAATTCTAGAGAATTTTTAATTTCTTTTGTATCTGGTAGGGTTTGTTTCTCCTCATTGATCTGCTTTTATTAAGTATTCCTGGCTTTTCTTTGTTTATGAACTGCAGAATTTGGTTACCTAATCAAAAATTAATTTGCTGATATTTTAAAAGAATTATATTACATTTCAAAATTAATCTTTAAGGTACTGAATCTCCCTCTCTAAGAACATGATATGTCTTACTATTTGTTCAAGGCATCTTTGAAATTTCTTAGTAGTGTTTTAAAGCGTTCTTCATTTGGCCTTGCACATTTCCGTTTATATTATTTCTGGAATGTCATTTCTCTGATGTCCTTCAACAACCAGCTATTAGAGATGAAGTAATTAGAAAAAGCTCTTTAGTTAATCTTCTTTCCATCTTGTCCTTCCCCGGTAGTGCACAAGTAAAACTTTAAACTATTTTCCTAAGAAAACATGAGGTTATAAGATACAGCAAAATGACAACTATGGTAAAGCTTTCAACTGAATGTTTCTAAAACAACTTAATAAAATATTGATCTCTAAATACTCCTATTTTTCATTTCTCATCCTTCCATATCATTAAAATTTTTATTAGATATTTTTGCTTAACATAAAATATTTGTGCATGTTTATGAGGTACCATAAGGTGTTTTGATTCATGTATCCATTGGGTAGTGATCAACTCTGGTCAATTAGCATATTTGCCATCTTGAACTTTCTTTTTTTATTTTAAAGAGAATAAAAAAATGACAACAACATACACAAAAACAAAATGACACAAAAACAATAAAAATGATGCAGGGTTTCAAAACAAAATGATAGGAATTAACAATGGTTGTTATATTACATATTGTTATCGTCAGTGAAGTTGCTCAGCTTACCAGATGTAAGAATGCAAGACTGATCAAACCATTAAAGAGAATTAAAAATATGAAAAAATTAGAAATGATACAGAGCTTCACTAAGTAAGATGATAGGAATTCACCAATGGTTGTTACATTGCATATTTGTTGTCTTCAAATTAGTTGTTCAGATTACCAGATACAAACTTTCAAAATTGGTCAAAAAATTTAAGCATTAACTGTCCCTTTCAATAAACCAATAGACATCAGCAGTACAATTATCCCAGCTATCTCTCTCTCTATATATATATATACATTTTCCCTTCCTTCTTTCTTTTTTTTTCTCCTTCCCTTATCCCAGTAGTTCCTTGAATTTTCATAATTTCTCTATGGTGAATACTTTTAAATTCTTTCCTTTTTACTGTTTTGTGATATATAGTGCATTATTGTTAATTATATTCATCTTACTGGGCCAAAGGATTCCATCTATAAAATAACATATAATTAAAATTTAAGTTGAATTCCTAAGTTCCATAATGTAACCTATAGACAATTGATCTGGCTTCTGGGAGAGTAAGTAATGATGAGTAAGACCATGCCAGGAGACTACAAGCCTTCAAATTCTCTTTTAAATTGACATTTTAAAGTGCAGGTAGTGATGTGAGGAATGATTGAAAGCTTGAGTTTGCAATCATCTGTAATTATCAGTGTTGTCTAAACAGACTCATTAACTCATCCTCTTAACCTGAAAATTGTTTTCTTTGGCCTGTTCTACTCCATTACTTATGTTATTAATTCTATACCTTGACAAAAATCTATCTTCTGTTGTGTCAGAGCTGTGCAGTGGCGATGAATAGATTGTTGTAATTTTTGTGTGTATTTGATATGGAAGGTGTTATGCTGTGGATAAGTGTTCCTCAAAGGTGAATATACTGAAGACTTGGTCCTCAACCCTAGGCATTGATAAGAGGTAGTGGAACCTGTAGAAGGTGATGGCAAAGGTAGGAAGTTAGATTACTGGAGAAATGCCTTAGAACTCATACTCTTTCTCTTCTTTTTGTTTGTCTGCCTCCACAAAGTAAGCAACTTTACCCTGTCATGTGCTCCTACCATAATGTACTTCCTCACCACAGACCCCCAAGGCAACATAACCAATTGACCATGGACTAGAACATCTGTAATTGTGAGACTATTTTTAATTTGATTATATCAAGCGTTTTATTACAGTAACACAATATACCGTATCGCATGACTAGTTAAAAACTCTGTGCTTAAGATAAAATTCAACCTTCTTGTTAGAGTTTTGGTTGGGTCTGGTATACATAACATTTAATGTATAATTTGTACAATATTCCCCCTACTTGGTACTTCAAAATAATCCTAGTGTTTGGGAGGCCTTGGCTTTCTTGTACTGAGACTTTTCCACACAAGTAATACATGGGGATTTTTATTACTTATCCTTTTTATAAAAATGACAGGCTACTTTGATAAAGAATATGAATGTGTTTCCAAGGTTGTTCTTTCTAACATCAATCATTTATTCAGTGATTATTTATTGAGCCTCAGTGTGATAAACCCTGGGAATACAATAGCATTGTCATACAGACACAGATTATCCTCTCAAGGATTTTTGGTCTGCATATAAGTACACACACCAGAGTACACACACAAGTTTTTCAAAGGAATAGCATTATAAGCGTATCTGAGTTGAAATCTGAAGGATGCACAAAAGGATGAAGAAGATGGAAGTCACAAGAGCTGGGCAGAAAGGATGCCTATGTGGGGTCCTAAGGAGGTTTCCTTAGCTGAGGAACTGGGAAAAGACAGAAGTGAGGATGGGGTATGGTCTGATCGTGGTCTAGAAAGGGGAAGTTGTAGGACAGGGAGGATTCAGGCCTTTATCCTACTTCTGGGGGCAGCTACATAATTTATGTGGCCCAGTAATAAATAAAAACATGGCATCTATTTTTCAAAACTTATTAAAAATTTCAAGACAGTAGCAGTAAAATAGCACCCAGGTGCAGGATCCTGCCCTGTGCAGCTGTGTGGTGCATGAAGCCAGCTCTGAAGAAAGCAAATGGGAAGCCAAGGAAAAGGTTTTAGCAGAGAGTTAGTGATTGACAAGTGAAACAGAACAATTCTATTAGTCTACCATGGCATGCTTAGTTAGTGGGTAAAGGAGAAAGACTATTCACATCTCTTAGATTGAGGGTTACATACATGTTATTAATATGATTGTTAAAGGATGTATGTGTTAGTACATAAGAACCCAGATACCACCCTCTTTTAAAACTATTTTTTATGGGTGGTAGGTTTTATTCTCACAGGTCTCTACACGAACATAAAACACTTTGATCATTTTCACCCTTGCCATTTTCCCCTTTGCCCTGTCCTCACCCTAATTTCACATTTTTAGGGGGAATGCTCAATGTATATAATGTGCATTTACTCATATGCTTCCCCACTATTACCTGCCCCCCTCATAATTAATTATTAGAGGTAGTCAAATGGTAAAGTCTGGAATTTTCACTTAAGATGGCCTTATGTACATCTATATTTTAGTACCGTTGAATATTTTTGCCCTCTAATCATTTAATAATGTAAGCTTACACTTTCAATTCACTGCCAAGAATCGTGCTTGAAATAAATGCTGTGCTGGTTTCTTAGAGTCAGCTAATATCCTATGACAAGAACTTAAATATTCAGAAGTGTGAAACAGGAAATAATTTGAAGAGCACAAGAAGAAAACAACTTCTTGCTAATCCTTGTTTACTGTAGTGCTCAGATGTGTTCTATTGTTGTATGATAATAGGTTATATTTGCTGTGTAGCCTATAATTTAAGAAGGTTGAGAATCAAATCTTTTGTCATCCATCTCTGCTGAAACAAAGCTTGAGTACTGATGATGTAAAAAAATTATTTTAAAAAGAAAATATTCTCAAGCAACCATTTTAGGTTTTACAAAAATAAACCCAATTCTTTTGTGTGTATATTTATTTCAAAGTGACTTTCAGAGAAAGAATACCATAGCAAAATTTAAAACCTGATAGTTATCTGGTATCTAATTTGTTGAAACCCAGGGAAACAATATCATTGAGGGATTTTAATGTTACCATAGAGGTAAGCCTATTACCTCTTTTTGTGAGATGTCTGTAATTCCACAACCTCATTTTTTCCAAAATCTGGATTATTCTAGGCTATAATATTTGTTGCAAAAATCTCTCCACCTAGTTGTTTTTGGAAGGTATCTATTAGGCATTTGTAAATTATGACAATGAAATATTTTAAATTAGGGATGCCATTTTTCCTCTGGTAAGTGCTATAAGAGGTAAGTGGTTGGCTTACTTACTAATGTTGTGTATATATTTTGTTTCTAGCCTACTTTTTCTATTTATAAAGTAAAGCATCTTGGAGGATGATGTCAACTAGTGGGTAAAATGTGTAGCAATGAAGCAGGCCCAGATTTCAAGCATTCATTTAGGATTTGTAAGTGTAGAGCAACACACAGTGGGGAAGTGAGTCTTTGATTTAAAGCTACTTTATGTTTAACAAGAGAAGCAAGCAAATGCAAGCATAATTTTATAGCTTAATATACAATTATCCTAGACAATGGAGTACTGTTTATAGTGCTATACACCTGAAAGAGTAAGTAACTACAATGTTGATATGTACAGAGTGATAAGTAGATGGGCCTAATCTTAAAAATAGACAATCTGAAATTACATGTAGATAAAATAAAGACTGAGAATTAAAAGGTCTGGAAAAATTATGGATTTGTAATTCTTAAGGTAAAAAGCCAGTACACTGTTAGATGGCCTCTCTTTGCCATGGAATTACATTGCAAGTGCTTAAAATTGATAGAGTATATGGAAAAGCATCTGTCAATCTAGAAGAGATGATATAAATGTTAAGTAGACTTAGTCCAGTACACATTTGGAAGAGAATAGGGTGCATGGTCATGCAGATTATTTTAGCATCCCTGAAAGGGTTTGTGTAGGAAGTAGAGTATTATTGATCTTTAAAAGATAGGAATGAAATTGCTAGGTAAGTGATAATCATTTATACTATCATATTTATTTTTCTTGCTTCCTAAGGTGTGGAATAATCTGTAATACTTACTTTCAGGGGGAAATAGGGACTCTATTTCTTTTTTATTATTATTTTTATTTCTTAATTTAATTTTTTTTTTGAGACAGGATCTAGCTATATAGTTTAGGCTGGCCTTGAACTTGCTATGTAGCACAGGCTGGCTTTGAATTTACTGCAGTCCTCTTTCCTCAGCCTCCCAAGTGCTGAGACTATAGACAGGCACCACCATGGTGGCAGGAATTCTATTTCTGACACAAAATTTTAACCCAATACCCAATTAAGTGAAATTCATCAATAGTGTGATATCACACAGTTACTGTCATTGAAGAAACCCATGTGAACTCAATTTAATTCAAAGAACATATTGTAAGGGGTTTAAAAGTTTTGGAAATGATTAGAAAAGACTAGGTAGGCCTTAGTCTTAAGAAGATATTTTAATTTTGAAATTGAAAATATTATACTTGTGATATTTTTACATACTTATATTAAAACTATCACTGCATACTGTTACAATGATGAAATTACTTGCCTAGGTCCACAAGTGAAGATTCTTCAATTGTTTGTTGCACAGGCTCAGAAAGGAAAAAAGTAAGTACACAATCACTCTGCAAAATAAAATATAAAATTTCTTAATATATTTATTTACAACCCTTGTTCACTGTTGCATAAAAATATTGCTATGTATGTGTGATTTTTATAGATGCCTGTTACAGATTTCCAAAGTAGAGAGAAATATATTAACACATTTACTGGGTCATTACTACTATCTTGCCACAAGGTAAACTGATCTTTTATGAGACTGAAAGTGAAGTCATATTTCTTCAAGACATTCAGCTGTGCCCTGCTCCTGGAGCTCACCATAAATGTTTGCATTCTGAAATTTTAGAATTATGCATGAATCTTACATCACCCTTTTGTATACAAGTTGCGTTTTTGGACAAGCTTTTCTGGAAAACATAACTCTCAGGAGGACAGAGATAGTTCAGTGAGTATCCATTACTCAATTTTCAGTTGTACAAATGTTCACTAATTACCAACTCCTTCCTCCAGCATCCAGGGATGTCAGGGGACATTTAGAGAATGAAAAGTGCATAAGGTGACCTCTCTAAAACACAACCTACGGGAGGAAACCTTACTTTAAATGCTTTAATAAAAATAATAGTTATGTATAATTTTAATTATAAAAATAGGGATGGTCATGAGCAAATTTCCATTTAACCTGAGCTCCAAATGAATGGCTGACTGGTGAATCTGAGATAGCTTTTCCTGAGGGAAACTGGCATGAATTTTGTTGTAAGCTGTTATGCCTTATATCTAGATGTCCCCAAAGTTTCACGAGGGCATAGGTTGGGCTTTTTGGAGAATAATGTGATGCTGAGATGAAGTGTGTGATGCTGGGATTATGGCTGCCCCACCTCAAGTGTGGGTGGCACTAATCAATAGTCTTCTAACCTGGATAGAATAAAAAGGGACCAAAAGAAGCTGATACTGCCTTTGCTTTCTACTGCTGCTTCTGTTGCTACTGCTTGTCTTCTACTGCCTCTTGCCTGCTCTGCCAGGCTCCTTTGCCACACCACCCTGCATTTAAGCCAGCTGATTATGGACTGAAACCTCCACAAACTGTGGGCCAAAATAAACCTTTCCTCCTTTAACTTGAGATGTTGGGTATTTTGTCTCAGCAATGAGAAAAGCAACTAAGGCACGAGCCATTGTAACCAAAGTAGCCCTCCCCAGGAGATTTTGCAATGTTCTCTAAAGGGCACAGTGAATTATTAATTGTTTTCTCTAATTACGGGTTGAAATGGTAGTAGCTGTTAAAGCCACCTGACAGTGTCTTTGGTCAGCCTTCTTGCTCCTTCTATGCAGTGGCTTTTCCAACCTCCCTCAGAAACTTTAACTTTCAACTCTGACTCCTTCTCCGTTGATGGCCTTGCCTTCACTTCAGAGAACATAAAAAGCAGATGCAAATTTACAAACTTCCTCTGAAGAAATTTACAGACTCACACAGCAGCCCTTTCTATTTCCTTCCCATTTCTAAAGAAGAATTGTCTCACTTCCCATTCAGATTGACTTGTAACCCCCATCAAACTCACATAGCACCTGAGAATGTACTCTTATTTGGAAACACAGTCATTTCAGATACAATTAGTTAAATTAGGAGGACATTGTACTGGAGTAGGGTCCAATATGATTGGTCTCCTTAAAAAAGAGGGAGGTGACTTGGACACTAACATTCTTAGAAGGATAACAGTGCAAGGAGACATATGCAGAACGTGGCCATCTGCAAACCAAGAACAGGGCCCTGGAATAGATTGTTCCCTCATAGCCATCAGAAAGGACTAACCCTGCAGATACCGTGATGTAAGTACTTTAGACTCCTAGTTGCCAGAACTGTGAGATAATAACGCAAGTTTCTGTTGGTATTCTACTGAGTTTATGGCATTTTTTATGGCAGCCCTAGAAAATTATCCACTGTTAATTCCTCATCATTGTCCTGGACTCTATTGTTTCCTCCTCAGGAACCTTGTATTATATTTTATAATGCAGCATCTTCATCCTCTTCTTTCTCCATCTGTATAAAATGTTGTTTACTCTCTCCATTTAAAAAACTAACAAGCCAATGATTCAAACAGGCAAAGAATACTCACACACATGTCACGCCATGCGTTAGTACCTTATTTCTTGCCCCTGCCTCAATCTTATGGGAGGAGCTGTTTGCAGTCCTGCAGGTTCTACTTCAATTTCTATTCAATTTGTGATGGGCCACACACAGGTTTGTACTAAGAAGCATTTGTCTTAATCACTAAATATCTTTCATTTTAAATGCCTTTTCCTTCCAAATACAATGGAGATTTCCCTGACCCGTGTATAGATGTTTTATTTTTTAGTGATATATCCTTTTTCATTTACTTTTATACCAAATTCTCAGTTTTCCTTCCCTTTGTCCCAACTTCTCTTGTTTTCAGGTGCCTTTTTCTTGAAATGTTAATGTTCTTCACTTTAAATCTATTGCTTTCATTACTCCAAGTCATTCTTTCAGGATGATGTCATCATCGTCACCAGCATCTATAATAATGCACAAATCTAGTCTTTATGCATGATTTGCCTCCTAAATCTCAGCTCTATATATGAACATGCATCTTTATTGACTCTCTCGACTGTTCTAAAATGATTCAAACCCTAAAAGTGCACCAGTAAATGCATTTTCTTTCCCCTCACCTCAGTCTGTGTCTTAGCTCAAAACAAGGTGTATCTTCTTTGACTCTTTGTTCTCATCATCCTACCCAGAAAATGACTAAGTATATCATAGGGATCACATCTCTGAAATATTTCACTAACCATTTCTTCCAGTATCATCAATTCTCACCCAGTTTATAGCTAGGGATCTCATCTCTCATCTTGTTACCCTTTACCCCAATCCATTCTCTCCGAACTGCCAAACCCTTTAAAATATCTCAAAATTAAGATCTAATAACTAGCTTTTAAATTTTGGCAGGAGTAATGGGTCCATATTAAGCTTGAGAAAAAACCGACAATGCTCCAAGCTTATGAGATTGTTCTTAGTTGATCTTTTCCTGTCCTGACTCTTACCTTATGTTTAACTATGTGGAATTATTTTTATTTCTTCCAGTGTGTCTTGCTCCTTCATCTCCTTCTCTTTCTCATGCCCCTTTCTCGTTCTTTTCCACCCCACCTCTCATTTTCCTGAAGTCTCTCATGTACTCTTTGCCCCTGTTAGTCTAGTCAGTGAGATATCAAGAGCAGAGATGAGTCACTCATCCACGCACAATACAATATTTTAATTCAGTGAGCACTTGTCACTGGAACAAACTGAGTGAGATCTGTTCTTAAACATAAATGCATTTGCTTCTGATGCAAATATTCCTACCCAGATAGCAGTTTCTCTATCATCAGAGTCATTATCAATTTTAATCTCTACATACAGATTTCTTGTAAAATTGCTTAATAGGACCCTGCTCTTAAGAAAACAATACACATTCAAAGAGTCAACCACATCAAGTTCTTAAAAATATATTTTGAAAGTTTGAAATCAAACATCAGGCTGTGTTGAATTTGTCGAAGAAAGTTAGACCTTCCTTAGCCTTTTGACAAGTAATCAATTGCTCTATTTTGACAAAAGGTTGACCTCACCACCCACCCAATGTTTATTAAACTTCAATACTAGGATCTCTTTCCAATTAGTGTCTGAAATGTCACCACTAGGTAATCATTCCTTTGCATTTACACTGTCACATCTTCAAAGTCCTCATTTATAATTTGGGGTATGGATGATACACTAATTAGTAATGTTTTATTGCAACAATTGTTCTTTTTTAAGGGGGAACATGATCCAGTACAGAGATGAAGAGGGTAAAATAATACTGTTCAATCTCACAATAATAAATCATCACATTTTCTTAGATTTGGCTTCAAATATGTGCAAGTATCCTGCAGCCTTAAGCGCATTACATTACTAGTAGTTTGGAGATTTATAGAAATGTCAGTGTTACAACTGCTCTCATTGATAATCTGTACCAGGGCTTGCAGTAGGGTTTGTATTAATTGCCAAGCAGTCTGGCTACATTATTTATGTAGATTATATACTGCACAATTTCAAAGATGCTGCTTTTATGTGGACTGTGGAGTATAAGCATACATATCAGGGTGCTCCACTTGTAGGGACATACTTTTAAAAAGAATCCTTTAACAAAAATTAGTTAAGATTGTTATACAGCTAGTTTCTCTTAGTTCATTAAAAAGAAAGTTTTGTGCTAATATTGTATATACAAAATATCATGCTTCTATCTTCTACTCCTGAATAACTACTAGGAAGACAATATGCAGTGTATCAAGCATTGTAGCTGTTCTACTAACCTGTTTTGAAACTCGGTTTCATTGTTATGTTTATCTTTTTTATTTTAAAGAGAATAAAAATAGAACAATAGCAAAATACAATCACCGTTGTTAATTCCTATCATTTTGTTCTGAAACTCTGTATCATTCCTAGTGATTTTGCTTTGTTTTGTTTCTGTCTCTGTTCATATTTTGCTATGTTTATCTTTTTTTTTTTTAAAGGAAAGTACAACTGGAATGGGGGAAGAGAAAAGAAGGCAGAAAAAAATATATGTACACACACACAAGACAGCTAAGATAATTATGGTACTAATTTCTATTGGTTTATGGAAAGGAACAGTTAATGTTTAATTATTTGATCAATCTTGCATACCTATATCTGTAATCTGAGCAACTACTTTGAAGATAACAATATGCAATATAACAACAATTGTTAATATCCTAGCATCTTGCTTTGAAATTCTGTATCATTTTTATTGTTCTCTCTTTTCTTTTTTGTTTTTAAAAATTCTCTTTAAAGTAAAAAAAAAATTAAAATTTAACTAGGTAGTCTATATTTTCTCTAGCAACCAGATAGAAGGAGTTGCTTGGAAAATGTGTGGGCATACTTTTGATTGTTTCAGAGACTAGAGGGGACAACTAACAATAAGGGGAAAGATTAATTATTCTGCAATTTATGGAAGACTCTGCCATCATGAGTGTTTTGGGTTGGGTGTGTAACTCAGGGGCAGGGTACTTCCCTTCTGTCCCT